CAAATACATTGTTCAAAGGAAATGCTATTATATTCTAAAAACTCTTAAATGTTCTATGTAGGCAAGACACACATCTTTTTATTAAGAAATACAAAAAATATAGGGATGCCGGGGTGGCTCAGCAGTTGAGCAAATGCCTTTGACTCAGGGCCTGATCCCAGGGGTCTAGGATTGAGTTCTACATTGGGCTCCTGCAGAGAACCTGGTTCTCCCTCTGCCTGTGTCTCTGCCTCTCTCTGTGTGTCAAAAAAAAAAAAAATATATATATATATATATATAAAACTGCCATGGTTTCCCCTATCATGTACTTTCTTGTTCTAAAAAATTTTCCTACAACACACAAAAATTTAAATTTCTAGCTCAAGCTCATAATCCTAGGGTGAGAGAATTATGACATATTAGTTAATTTTCATATATTTACATTCCTAGTGTAGCTTGTAGTGTATCTGAGTCTTAAAAGGGAGTAATTCAAGATTTTTTAATAGGAATTAAATTGCAAAAACCTTGCATTTTGAGAAGAAAACATGAAAGGATGACTGCAGGGACGAGGTGAGGGATATCAAGTTCTCTAACCTCTCCCTCTTGTTCTCCTAAGGAGAGAGATTACCATTCCTCCTTAGCCTGAGACCCTAGTACATTTCAGTGTACTGTGGAGAGACGGACTGAAGATTCAGAGAGGGGCGTATGACAGGGAGGCATGCAGGTACTGCAAAAATCCTACCTCTGCTGTACGTCATTGGAAGAGGGAGAGAGAAATAAGAGTCACATTAATCCAACTGTAAAATTATCATAAAAGATACAAAATAACGGAAACGAACATTTAAAAGGCCATTATGACTAAAACAAAATAAGAATCAAGTTTCAGAAATTGATGAAAACAGCAAAAACATTAAGATTTTATTTTATTCATGAGAGACACACAGAGAGAGGTAGAAACATAGGTAGAGGGAGAACCACACCCTATGCAGGGATCCTGATGTGGGACTTGATTCCAGGACTCCAGGATCATGCCCTGAGCTGGAGGCAGATGCCCAACCGCTAAGCCACCAAGGAGTCCCCATTTTAAGTTTTATTTTTAAGTAATCTCTATACCCAACATGAGAACTGAACTTACAACCCTGAAATCAAGAGTCCCACACCCCAGCACACCAGGCATCCCAGCAATTTTTTTTAAATAAAAACTTTTGTGTTTTATCTCTATAGCAGTTTTGTTTCTTCTTTAAAACCTCAAATTTTGCTGCAAAGCACTATCCTAACATGTTTCTTTATTCCTTCCCTACTGTATTTTAAAGTTACTTCCGTAATATAGGAATTTTATCATTATTTCGCAACTATTTTAAATTAATCACAAATGTCTCATTTCTAAAAGTCACTTATCTTCTTGAATATCAAGCAGAAAGTTATATTTTCCAACACTGTCTTTATTAGAAAATCTGGGATACATTAGAATCTATTTGCTAGGTAGAAGAGCAACAGCCTAGAAAAACATTTCTCTTTAAGTACTGGCTAGATATGTTAGGTTTCTAAACATCTTTTAGGCTCCTTTCTCTGAGCTTCTGACAACAGCAAATCCCAAATCTGGAAAAAGCTTCTACTTCAGGTTTTTTTTTTTTTTTTTGCCAAATATCTTTGGACATAAAGTTAACTAACACATTAGAGATTTTCAATAAATACCACACTTTTCACATTTTTGTCAAGAAACCAAGAGATCCTACTGAAACTTTTTTCTAGGAAAATTTTCTTTCTCTGCCAGAACCATTTATTAACTTTCCAGTGTTAAACATAATCTGTAAAATTACAAAAACCTAACCATGAAAAAGGCAAGGTACCAAACCACATAGAACACGTTACCCATAGCGTGTAAAATGGTCCTATGCTTCAAACTGTACAGACTATCCCAAGAAAAACGGGTAGTGTAGTGTCTCTGAAAAGGGAAACAGAGAGGCTGGAGGAGAGGAGTAGGAAGGCCATCTCTTTTCACTGTATTCCCTTTAGTGGTATTTGCTTCCCCCCACCCCCCAACCCCATGCCAGCATTATTTTTAAGGAAAGAAAACCCAACAAAAAAATTCCTTAAAAATACATTTCCTGTGAAGTCCAATTTAGTCAATAGTATTTAAGAATCTACAGAGTATAAATTTCCATACATAATTTAAGCAGACAGTAATCTGATGAAGTGAATTTGATGAAAAGCTTTAATGGAATCTCAAGTGGACTGTTTTAATTTGTGTCTGTATATAAACGTACATATACATCCTCTAGACATCTATTTTCAGAATCATCTGCACATATCCAAATAGTGTTTCCAGCATGAAAATATGTAATTTCTAGAATGAGAAACATAATTGACAAAGGGAAATATTAAAGATTGTGGATTTTTTTCACAACTACTGACCTCCAGTGAAAAGAGTAATATTCAGGGTATCAAGCTCCCCAGCAGCCAGAAAGTGACTCTCTGCAGAGAGCCTCCAGATATAATAAAGTGCTTTTTCATTTAAAAACGGGAAGCTTCCATATGTAAATGAACCTGTAGCAGGATTCAATACAGCTGAAAAACAAAATAAGCAGCAACTTGGAATGGAATACAAACACTTGATGTTAACTGCTATCCTGCAGTTCTATAAAACTAATTACATGAGATGAAATGTATAGCCTGAAAATAGACAAAATAGTAACTGTCTGGAAAAAGTGTAATTACACTAAACATTTTTTCAATTTGGGTAATCAATATGAACATTATGACAGTGGGCTTCATTTCTGAGACATGTTTGAACTTGAAAAATAAAACATAACGGTTCATACCAACTTTTTTATCCATAGATGCCATAACACAAGTATTTTTACTTACCTTGTTGTCTCTGATAAAAGTTTGAAATGTTTTTCTACCATTTTTTACTTAAGCTAATACAAGTAAACAACGCAATTTCAATTAAACCAAAATTTAAAATCTGAACCGCAGGTTTCAGGATTCCAGCAATCAGTTAAGTACACACATAAATGATTCTTTGTGTGCCATCAATCTTTAAAAATTAGGCAATTCCAGTTGCAGGTGAGGATGAAGACCTAACTCAAGTGTTTCAAGTTCAGGAAAGACCTGTAAAAATAGCATGATGTTAAAATTGTAGCAATACTGTTCTTGCTAAGTCAATCAACTGACAGCAGCTAGCGATTCATGCAACTTTGCCTTTTGTTCTTTTAATATTTTAAAATACTACTCTACACACTTGCCTGGTTGACAGTTCTCAATGATGACCATACTGGTCCCTTACGACCCCCTCACTCCCAGAGAGGGCAGATTCTTTGTAAAACTCACTGAAATGAATACAACAATGATTAAAACAATAAGAGAGCAAAACTCTGGAAGACATTCCAACCAAAGGACTGAAACCAAACAGGAAAAGGAATGCGTAACATTGTTCTTGCCTTCAAGATATGTATGTACTGTTAGGTTAACCTGGAATGATTTTCACAAATCCTTTTCTTCTTTTTAAACAATAAGATCTGGCTTAACAAAGCATTCTTCTTGTTTTTTTTTTTTTTTTCTCTCTCCTACCCCACTAGCACATAGAAAAACTTAAGTATTGTACCTTCGTTTCCCCATTTTCATTTTTTTTTGTAACTGCAAGATTGTTTTCAAAATTTAGTCACTATGTTTTGCACACTTTTTTTGTCTTATTCTTTGTCGTGTTCAGCATTTGATCAAGAGTTCACAATGTCAAAATTCTTTGCTCTGCAGGCAAATTTGCAAATTGAAGAATGATAAAGGCTTTAAAAAATCAGTTTACCTATGGTTTTGTATTTTGCAAGAGAAATCATCTTTTTTTTTACCTGATTCCTGCATCCATTTCATATTCCTTGAACAGATTATGTATTTCCTGACAACAACAAAAATGCCCATTTCAAACAGAAATATTTACGTTTTCAGTGTGTTTTCTTTCTTTTCTTTTTGATCGTGGTAGTGATAAGAGAATAAAGCCTAAGTTGAATATTTACTTGAGAGAGAGAGAGAGACTGGGGGGAGAGGGGGAGGTAGGGAGAGAAACCGGGAAGAAGGGAGGGAGGAAAAGAGCAGCAGCCAAGGAAAAGAAATCTATGAAGAACTTTACAGGTGCAAAATGAACGTGAAATATTCTAACGACTAAAAACGCGCCCTCTTTCCCCTATCCAACCTCCATGCCCACAGATAAAAATACAGTACTTACAAGTTAGTACCTGTGTGTTTGTGGGTGTCTCTGTGTGAGTGTTTTCTCTCTTCTTTGGATTTGGATACTTTGAGCTAATGTGAAAATGCCCGTTTGGTTGCCCACGAAATGACGCGTGAGGGTCTAAAGACGCATAAATTAGAAATCCTACAATGGCAGAGGACGGTCACTGTACCTCTTCTCTTTATGCGCTCTTCTGCTGGGACCCAAGAGTCTTTTTTTTTTTTTTTTAAACACTTCAGATGATGGAGCGAATGAGGGGCTGGTCGTTGCTGAGGACCAGGAGAGCCCTGTACTCCCCCCTCCAGCTCAGCACCGCGTCCCCGCTCCCCGAACGTACCGGACTTTGCTACAAAGTCCCTTTAGGGAGACTGGGGGAAGCAGCACAGAGTCCTCGCGGTCAAGCCCCGACGCCGCCGCCGACCTCCGAGTTTCTATTCCTGGTGCTTGAGGGTTGGGGGAACGGCCGCGGATGGAGGCGGGAAGGACGGAGCAAGCAAGGGGAGGCGACCTTCTCAGAAAACACCCGACTGCCCCCGTTACCTTTTCTGCCTCCATTTCGGGGGTGGGGGGTAGAGAAAAAGATGTCAATGACCATTGTTTGCTCGTTTGGGATGTTGCTCCGCCCCCCGAGTCTGTCGTAAACCTGGCGGCGGACTAAAATAAACCCCAGATCCCGCGGCCGGGGGCTCGCGCGCCGCCACTCCTCGTCACAGGCGCCGCCGCCGCCGCCGCCGCCGCCGCCGCCGCGTCCCGCCCGCGCCCGCCCGGGCCCCCCTCCCTGGCCGCCCGCCGAGCCATGTCGTTGAGCCCCAAGCACACGACACCCTTCTCCGTGTCCGACATCCTGAGCCCCATCGAGGAGACCTACAAGAAGTTCGGCGGCGCCATGGACGGCGCGCCGCCCGGCCTGGGGGCGCCCCTGGGGGCCGGGGCCGCGGCCGCCGCCGCCTACCGTGCGCCCCCGCTCGGCCCCTCCTCGCAGGCGGCGGCGGTGGCCGGCATGCAGCCGCCCCACGCCATGGCGGGCCACAACGCGGCGGCGGCGGCGGCGGCGGCCGCGGCGGCGGCGGCGGCGGCCGCGTCCTACCACATGCCGCCGGGCGTCTCGCAGTTTCCTCACGGCGCCGTGGGCGGCTACTGCAACGGCGGCCTGGGCAACGTGGGCGAGCTGCCCGCCTACACGGACGGCATGCGGGGCGGCGCAGCCGCGACCCCCGGCTGGTACGGCGCCAACCCGGACCCGCGCTACTCGTCAAGTGAGCTGGGCCGGCAGCGCGGGGCCGAGGGCAGGCAGACGGCGCGGGCTTGGCCCGTCACGGCCCGGGGCGCGCGCGGGGCCGAGGGAGCGGGGCTCCGGGCCGGGGCGCGCGGGCGGTCCTGGGACCCGGCAGGGGGCGCGCGGGGGGGTGCCGGGACGGGGCCGGGGGCGCGCGCGGGGGGTCCTGGGACCCCGGGCGCGCGGGGGGTGCTGGGACCCGGCCGGGGTCCCGCGGGCGTCGCGGCCGCCGCGGTGTGAAGAGCGCGGGGCGGCGGCGGGAGCAAGCTCCCGGCAGGCCTGGCGCTCACCGGCTTCCCCCCCCTTGGGCCCCTCCCCAGTCTCCAGGTTCATGGGGCCGTCGGCGGGCGTGAACGTGGCCGGCATGGGGTCGCTGACGGGGATCGCGGACGCCGCCAAGACGCTGGCGCCGTTGCACGCGGCAGCGGCAGCGGCAGCGGCGGCGCCGCGAAGGAAGCGGCGCGTGCTCTTCTCGCAGGCGCAGGTGTACGAGCTGGAGCGGCGCTTCAAGCAGCAGAAGTACCTGTCGGCGCCCGAGCGCGAGCACCTGGCCAGCATGATCCATCTGACGCCCACGCAGGTCAAGATCTGGTTCCAGAACCACCGCTACAAGATGAAGCGGCAGGCCAAGGACAAGGCGGCGCAGCAGCTGCAGCAGGACGGCGGCCTGGGCCCGCCGCCGCCGCCGCCGTCCTCCCCGCGCCGCGTGGCGGTGCCCGTGCTGGTCAAGGACGGCAAGCCGTGCCAGAACGGGGCCAGCACGCCCACGCCCGGCCCGGCCGGCCCGCAGCCGCCCGCCCCGACGCCCGCGCCGGAGCTCGAGGAGCTCTCGCCCAGCCCGCCCGCGCTGCACGCCCCGGGCGGCGGCCTGGCGTCCCTGGACGCTGCGGCGGGGGACTTCGGCGGCGGCGTGCTGGGCGCCAACCTGCTCTATGGCAGGACGTGGTGACTGCCGGGCGCCCCGGCGCGGGGTCCTGCCTGCGGGCGGCGGCCGTGCGGAGACCCCGAGGGCGGACGGGGGACTGGCCGCGAACCGCGGTCTTACGGAGGACGCGATCGAACACTAACGGACGGGTCTCGGAGAGGGGCAGTCTTTGGGCCGCTTTGCTGAGGGTGGGAACAGCGACAGCCCCGGAATTGAATAATGCGGCGCCAGGAGGCTGTGAGGTGGGGATTTCCTCCTCCCAAAAGTTTCTTGATCATTCGAAAAGCGGGCCGAGTCCACATCCACCGCGTTCCTTTCCTAACGGAAGCTCTCACAGTTTTAAAAGCTGGAAACTGTGGGTGTTCATAGCTCTAAAAATCAACCCAGCTTTAACAGTGAATCCTTTTCTGGAGTGGAACTTGAGAGATTAATTTTCAGAGGCCTCCCCTTTAAGTGCAATTTCATTAATGATTGATTGAAAGTAAATTGTAGCTCAAGGTGGGTCATGCACGTAGCAGCATTATTGCAGAGGAATTCTTGCCGTTTAGGTAATAGAGAAATGGAATAAGAATAATCAAAATACTGCTTGTATGGATTGATACAGCTTTTTAAATTGAATATCGACTTTGAAATATTTTGATCGTTATTTGGGAAATAAGTGTTTCTCTATTACCCTAAAAGAGGATATTTCCCACTGTACGGTGCAGCTCATAAGAAGGAAGGGTTGTAAACTACTTCTTATGTGGAATCTGGTCTCCCAAAATCAGCTGATAAAAGCTCACTGTCCTTCCGTAGACCTGTTATTTGCTCTAAGTTATTTGCTTGTCTGAATTTGAGTACATTGATAAAATACTAGAGCAAGGAAGCAAATTTGCCAGAATTGACATCAATCTATATTTCAAAGCATGTCAAGGAAGAGAATAAGATGATTCATTGAATTGTAATCAGAATGTAAAGAGTAAGAATTATTTATGATTTTCCCATATTTACAACTTAACGGGGCCGCACACCGATTTTGTTGGTGTTTTATTGTATGAATAATGTATTTACTCTTTAATATGCCAATTTATATTTCCTATGTTTCAAATGGATATTTAAATATAACTTAAAAGAATCTTTTAAGTACTTTTTGGTAAAAGTCAAGTGGTCTTTTTTCACTAAGTTGTATAGGTTTTATTTTGGATGGTTGGTTGGTTGGTTGGTTGGTTTGTTTTACACCAGTTGGCATGACAGGACAACCACAGGTCAGTTTACTCATGATTTAAATAACTGATAGTGGAGTAAAAAATACCAAAAGCAAGCTGAAGAACCTTAGTTTATAAAATGAATGAAAATTTAAAACCTAACATGGGTAAATAAAGCGTGATTTATAATGATCACAAATAGTTACCAGAGACCCTAACCCCTTACGCATTTATTTGAAGTTTTAGAATTAGTTTGAGGCGGAAACATTTCATTTCACTTCATTGTTCGGTGTTTTTCTGAACGTACAAAGTGAATCCTTCAGAAGGTGTTTTAGACATTAACCTTGCACTTTCTGTAAACTGTATTTTACATAGTAATAAGAATAACAAAACTCCAGTCTCTTTCACCAAGGGAAGAAATCACTGAACAAGCAAGAGGATCAGCCTTTATCAAGGGTCTGTGAATGCATTTTTGGAAAATGAGAACTAATTTTTTAAAAACCTTTTACGAAAAGGGAAACAATTTGAGCAGAAAAAAAATAGTTTGAAAATGGTGCAGTACACCTACAGAAAACTCCCAATTTGGGTTTTTGCATATTGATAGACTTGACTTGTAAAATACTTAACAAGCTAGCATAACTATTATTGAGTGCTACATTTCAAAATGCTTGTTTATATTGATTTGATTTCCCTCATAGCAGTATCAGGATTCTGAAATTTTACTTCTAGAAAATGTGTTCCAAAAGTCCACATGGTTTACAACTTACATATTTTATAACCCGGTACCTAATAATAGCTAATGGACTAAGGTCTCCAAGAAACATATTTAAAGAAAATAAGTCTTCACGGACAGTTTTTCCCTTGATAATTTATTTCTGGAGCAAAGAGTCTATTAGACTAAGTGAACTCGCTATCAAAAAGATCATAAAGAAAAAACAGCTTTATGCAATATCTTCTGAAAGCATATTTGCTTGTAGGCATATCTTTTTCCTTCCAGCATTCCTTTAAGTAGTAAAGGAACCCCTGCTAGAAGTGTTCGCTGCAGACAACTTAACATTCTACACCCAGAAATGTACTGAGTTTACGTGTGCACATCCCAAAGTTAGGATAAAGTTTGTTTCTTGAAACATTGAAATAGAAAATGATTTTACTGTTGAATTCCACATTCTGATTAATGCAAAGTAAGGGCTTTTTTTTTTTCTTCTCTTGCAATTAGTGCTTTGCAGATCTTTTATAAAAACACAAATGGCCAGACTAGGTGAAACTCATTAACTGAAGAGGAGGACAAGTGTCTTCACAACCAAGAGGGAGGGCTGAGGCAGAGTCTGAGTGGAACAAAGCCCTCTCAAAGTTTAGCAGAGACCACAGCAAAACGGAGTTCCAGAAATGCTAACTGCAGATGTGGTATTTTCCCAAATGTTTTGGGGTTGTATGACAAAGTTATCTCTTCCAGTTGAGGCACAGAAACAACCCAGAATCAAAGTTGCAGAGAGGAACAGCAGAGATTGCAGGTACTTCTCTGTAGTCTGTGTTGGGGTATAAATTGAAGTGTGTGGCAGTGTGCAATGTTGAGGACACAGGAATGGTGTTATGTATATGGAACCATGGAGGGTGTAACCTGGTTTTCTATTTAAGACTGCTTAGAATTAAAACCTAATGGTCCAAACAAGTTGTCAATCAGACTTTTATCAATACAGATGTTGTGTCCAAACTCCACTCTGCTATTGATTCCTTTCAATTTAAAGCAAATCAGAGACTCAATCCTGTTCACTAAATGCAAGCACCTTCAAAAGAGTGGCTTTGTTAGCTGCATTGAATACTGATGATTTAGAAAGACTTTTGGAATAAATCTGTGAACCATAATCACATAAAGACACATCGACTACGTTTTTAGATATGAATTTGTGCATAAAATAATGCATTATGTTGTGGCAATACAAATTTTCAGATATTCAAAGCATGAATGATATTGCCCAACTAGTCAACATAATACTGACATGTGGATAAACCCCTGTATTTTAACCATTTCAGTCCATTTTTTTTTTAATGATGCTATTTGCCATGCCGAAACCCAATGAGATAGGGAACTAGGACACAATTTGCTTAAAAAAAAGAAAAAAAGAAAAAAAGAAAAACCACAACCATTAAATAACCTCTTAGTGCTGGTACTGAGAATTGGTGAGCATCTGGAGAAGATTCAGAGGAAATGGCAGACAGGCACTGCGTCCCCATCTCATCAGGAATTTGCTCTCCCTAGTAAGTATTGAGATAACTCTGATTTCAAGATCACTTTTATTATTTTTAAGTTGGGAGGTGTAGTGGAAGCTTGTGGGAGAGGTTTTCTTGGTTCCATTGTTTTTTGTTTTAGGTGTTTGTTTACCTGCAATTGAATGAAATGTGTACCCGAAATGGAATGAAATGCCTTTTATTTTATTTCATTTTTTTAATCTCTTGTAACCTTTATTTCAGGCATTGTTTAGGTGACTTCTAATAAAGGTCTAACCACTATTCCTGCCTAGCTCTAAGTTGTGCTATTTTGCAGTAGTGAACGGCTCTATTCCCATTTCATATGAAAAAATTAAAGCATGTTCCATAAATACGAAATCCCGAAATAAGCAACACAAGCGGTTAACTTTGTCACGAGTAGAGGAAAAACCCGCCGAGAATGGTGGTTTGTTACTTTATTGTTCGTGGACCTTTGTGCTGGTGAGACAGGAGCAGTGTGGCGGGGGCTCGGCCTACGACGCTGCGGGCGGCCCTCTGCGGCCCGGGATGCCGAGTCCCGGCGGACTCTTCGGTGTCTATGCTTTAGGTTTCTAAGCTTAGCTAAGTTCGGTCAGGTTCGGACTGAGACCTTAACGCCGCCACCTCGGGAGCCCCTTACAGGCGCGGGGTTTGCGCTGCGGCAGGGAGCTGAGACGGGAAGACGAGCAGGTGGGGAAGCCCGGCGCCACTTCCAGGACCGAGGCTGCTGCTGTGGCAGCCGCGTTGGGCCCGGCGGCGGCGGTGACACACAAAGCACACCGCGGGGTGGGGGCTTGACCTTTCCTGCGGGCCCCCTGCTCCACACCGGCCGCGCCCGGGGCTGCCGGGCGGGAGGACGGCGGCGCGCGCCCAGAGAAGCCGGGGGTAGGGGCAGCCGGGCGTGCGCTCTGCCCCAGGAGCGATCCGTCGGTCCCCGCCGCGTCCTGCCCGCAGGCCCCGGGCGCCGCACTGTCCGGCCCGGCCGCGCCGTCGCCTCGCCTCGCCTCGCCCCGACGTGAGCCCGACCTCCACCTCCAATGCCCCGCGGAAAACCGGAGGTCGGAGCCCTCAGCCCCATCCCGGCCAGCCCAGGCGTCCCGCGCCCTCGCACGAAAATTAACATCGCTCATTACACCCACTTTGCTTTTGCAACGCCAAATGGCAGTCTGATAGCTTGTAGATGGCTTTGTATTTTAACGTGCATTATTACCTCATTTGATCTTTAAAGGCAACTGCTCATTAAGAGCCCTTAGAGTCACAATAAAGTCACTGTTTCCTGTGCTGAGATTTTTAAGCATCTTTAGCGAGACCCTGAAAACCTGTGTCCTACTTAAAGATAATGTAATTCTTTAAATTTGGCTCATAACTGCTTTTACACCCGAAATCGGAGGGAATGTTCAGTTTTAAACACACCATTTGAAGTTCTAAAAAGCGTTTACTTGAAATAGGGCATTTTTCTGGCAGATTCAGAGATGGGAACAAGTTAGAAGGAGAGGGAGAAAGAGTAAGGAGCAAGAGGAGGCAGCAGAGAATGGAGCAGGCCCGAGAAAGTGAGTGTTCAGCTAACTGGCAGGTGTCCTGCAGGGCACCCCACCA